GAGAGATTGTTTCTAGCTTCAATAACATCCTGCTTAGCAAGAAGAAGGGGTGTGTTCAACTTATAAAAAACATGTTAAAATATTTTCTTCTTTTCCCAAAGGACATAATTGGGCATGCCATCCAATGGAGCAATCAGACTAGCCTTGACTGCATCATTGTATCCCTCAATACCAGTCACACAATTGACAAATTTAAATCTAATATAATGCTTATGGGAATCCTGTTGGTTCATCGATAACAGAAGGGCATGGTCAAAAACACGAGGGGCATAATTTTCAGAGTAAGGTTCAAATAATTTTGGAGCCAATCAGTATTAGCCAAGACTCTATCTATCCTAGAGTAAATAGTACTAATACAATGTTTGTTATACTAAGTGTAATATTCTCCAATGTTGTCCATTTCTGAAAGCTTGTTATTATCCATCAGGTCTTGCAAGTCTTTATATTCAGTTCCAGTATCAACACTCCCACCTATTTAGTCTTGGGTTTTCAGAATATTATTAAAATCACCAACAAGGCACCAAGGCCCTTGTTGGTTCAGATTACCCAAATATCTCCATAAGGTCTTCCTTTGCTCTAGCTTATTTAAGGCATAGATGGCAGTCATCCAAAATCTGAAATTACCTTGAGTATCAAAAATCTCATAATGAACCATTTGACTGATACAAGAAAATACCTTGACATCAATATTATTATAATTCCAATGCACCAAAATCCTACCATTATCATGACAACTATAGTTATCTATATAGTTACCACCAAGGTTCAACTTATTTCTGATATGATTGGCCTGGCCAGCTTTGACCCTAGTCTCAATCAAGATGTTAATGTCAGCCCTAAGATCAAGGAGACGAGAACTTATCTCCTTCAACTTACATGACTTATTAAAACCCCTAACATTCCAGGAAACTATCATTGACCCGTGTTCTCAAGCTCTAGCAAATCATTCAAAATCTCTAGAGCATTGAAACCATTTTCACAAAAAACCTTACCTGGAGGTTCATTAGAGACTTATTTTTCCTCTAATCCTTTCCACTTTTAGTAACCTCTATCCAATTCTTAGCACCATCCGCAACTTTACCTGTGATTTCAACTATCTTTGTAGCCTTAACAATAGTCGGTGAGACTATTGGTTCCTTTTTCTCTTCTGGTTGTTTTGGTTTAGGATTCCACTCCTTCGCTTTAGCTTTAGGTTTATCACAATTATGGCACACCTTTTGACATTTACCAAAAAACAAAGGCCTTTATTTGTATTCTGTAGTTTGTTGTATCTTCTCACCATCGTTATCTCTAATAGTAATTGCTTCAGGAAGATCCTTGGTTGTGTTCATTTCCAATAAGATCCTGGCGTAAGAGACACGGAGTTTATTGGTTGTACATTCATCAGTAAATATCATATTGCCTAAAGCGCTCCCCATTTTTTAAAGAATTGTTTCACCCCATAGGAAGAGAGGAAGTTGGGGAAGCTTGACCCATATGGGGAGAGTTCTCAGGAAATCAACCTTTAGGTTAAAATATGGTCGTCATTCACGAATCAACAACGACATGCTTCAAAACATATAAGGGCCCTTTATTAGAACGTCGTCCCTTTCCCTAAACACTCTTAAATCTGAGGATAAAATACCCTTCTTCAGGGTAGTACATATCCAAAAGTTGGACGAAGTTCCAATTCTTAATCATGAAATTCTTGATCGCGTTCATACTTAGCTCCCCACCCAATGCATACAAAATAAGAGATGATTTCCAAAATTTGATTTCTGAGATAACATCTTCTTCAACAATCTCAACCTCAATTTCGCCATTAACAATTTTTGGGGATATGGATTTCATAACTCTTCCTTTAGCTGAATTCCTGTTGTCATTCAAAACATCAACCCATAATTTCCTAAGTATTTCAGATTTAAGGTTTCTTCAGGCTTGGATGTCTCATCTACTTCATATTTCATCATCTTACTAGAGCTAGCTTGGTGACTTAGGGTAACAGGTTAAACGAGTAACAAATTTTGGCGGTGGTGACACCGTCTTTTTCGGACGCCCTCACCGCATCCTCATGTTTTGAGTATTTTGTTAATTATATTATTAAATTTATTATTAAAATAAATTGAATTGATGACATGGATTCACTAACATGCTGCCACCTCATTAATAAACATGACACCTAAGTAAAATTGGATGAGGGGTCAGGTAAATCCAGAGGCCTTTTAAATTAAAGGAGGAGAGTCACTGATTTTGTAATAGGGGGTCGGTTGTTTAAAAATACCAAACTAGAGGAACCGAAAGTGCATTTAAGTCTAAAAATATTAAATAGAAATGTCAAAGTATTAAACAACCAACTAATAAGCAGAATGCACACGATATATAATACATACATTTACACCTCATTTCATTTTTTTTCTTTCTTAAAATCACTTAGCCTATGCTTAGATTGTTGAAATGTGACGGAATAGAGCGGAATGAAATGAAATAATATTGAATTTCATTGAAATATAATGAAATTCATGTTCCGTTCCGCTCTGCTCCATTCTATTCCATCATATTTCGTTTTGTTCCGCTCCTTTCTATTTCATCAATTCAAACATAGCCTTAATGACAATAATAGTGTTATACCAATATATAATATTTAATATTTAAAATTTTTGAAATACAAATATTGTTAAAAAAATCAATAGTGTTATGCCAAAACTAAAATATATTAAAGATTCCTTAATATAGCTTTTTTTTAAATATATTTTTTATAACATTGTATATATTTGGTAAAAGAAATAACAAAGATATTTTTTTTTAAAATAACTTCAAATAAAATTAAAATAATATAAATACTTTCTTATAAAAACTAGATTTAAATATTTGATATGTGATTTTTTTACATAAAAATATACTTTTTTAATTATGTGATTTTAAATATTTTTTACAAAAGGTTATAACAAAAAATATATATATCATGCAAATAAAAAATTTATTAAAATATTTATATAACAATATTTCATATAACTATACCGATATAAACATTTAAAATTTAAAATTTTGAAATTCAATTTTTTTTTAAATATTAATAGTGCTATAACAAAACTAGAATATATTGAAGATTCATCATTATATTTTTTTTAAGATTAAATATATTTTTAGTCTTAAATATCTCAAATTTTATTTTTAATTCCTCAAAATATTTCCTTCAAAGAATGATCATTTTAAAAATTTTCATACACACTTTTGGTTCCTCCTGCAACTTAACAACGAATTTCATAACTTAACAACATAATTAGCAGTGATTTATTACCTAGTGACTGAATTAGTGACATATTTAATATTAGACATCAAAAGTATGGATGCAAATTTTTAGAAGGATCATTCTCTAAAAAAAATATTTTGAGAGACTAAAAATGAAATTTGAAATATTTAGGAGCACCACAAATATATTTAACCCTTTTTAAAATGTATTTTTTTATAGCATTTTATATATTTGGTAAAAAAAAAAATAAAAATAATTTTTAAAAATAATTGCTTCAAATAAAGTAAAAAATTTAAATACTTATTGAAATCGGTGTTTTAAAATCCATATTGTTTCAGTCAGTCGGATCTGTTAGACTGTGAATTAGAGGATAGAGCGATCAGATAAAGTTATCGGACTATAATAATTTAAATTGATCTGGTGAAAATCAGTGTGATCTGATCGGTTCACTGGCCAGACCAATGAACCAATGAATTTCTTAAACTGTTGGGTTGATGTTTTCATATTTATTTTTTAACTTAATTATAATTTTGATCTCCTATTCTCATTTTTCTTAAGTTTTAGTGTTTTTGTTTTAAAATCTAATTTTATTTATATTTATAATTATGTTAATTATTTAAAATAATTAAATAATGTTAATATTATAAAAAATTAAATTTTAACAAAATTTAAGAACATAACATTTCACGACTATTAGAATTTAGTTTTGTCAACTACACCATAAATTTCTTTGATTTTTAATTTAGTCAAAGAGAATATATATATATTCTATAATTACAACAATCATCTCAAATGCAATTCTTATTAAACTATTTTACTATTAATCATATAATAAAATAATATAATAAATTTAAAAATTAGAAAACTAATTAAACAATATAATAATATTATAAATTAACAAAAAATTTAAAAGACAATTATGTTACCAAATAAAAGGAAATTTATATTTTTATATTATCAGAAATTATTCGGTATAACTAATGATCCACTGATTTGACCAGAAATCGAGTTATCCAATAGCTATATCGGATTGATGATCGATACAAATTTTAAAAAATTAATTAAAATACAAGAAAAAATCAATAGTGGTATACCAAAACTAGAATATATTGAAGATTCATCCATATTTTTTTTTAAAATATATTTTTATAGTACTTAATATATTTGGTAAAATAAATAAAAATATATATTTTAAAAATAATTAATTTCAATAGAATAAAAATTACACAAAAAAATAAATTATATAAACTATCGTGGTCCACTTATTTCTTTTTGGAAAAAACTTAGGTGGTGGTTTAAATTTTTTTCCAATAAAAATATGATAAATATATAATATATATATATATATATATATATATATATATATATATATATATATATATATATATATATATATATATATATATATATATATATATATATATATATATATATATATATATATATATATATATATATATATATATATATATATATATATATATATATATATATATATATATATATATATATATATATATATATATATATATATATATATATATATATATATATATATATATATATATATATATATATATAATTTCTTCTTATTTTTACTCCCTAAAAAATATTTTGATATATTTATCATATTTCTATTAAAAAAAATATAAATTATATAAATTATATCTAAATATTCTCTTTTATTATTTATCAAAAAAAAATACTCTAGTCATCTTATAAATAGCTTATTGCATTGGTTTTCTTATATACCATTTAAAATTTAAGTAGAATGGCAACCCATAATAATATCCTCCTTTTTACCTTCGTAGTTTTATGCATTGTTTCCATCGTGGTTGCAGGTAACACAATTTTGTAGATTTTCAATTTAAATACTTATAATTCATTTCTTTTTGTTTGAAATGTGTATACTTTTCAATTTAAAAAATATTTCTAATGACATTTTAATTTATTGATTGAAGGAGTACTAGATGATACATTACATTGCTTTCAAGGAATATGTCCTAATCAGGACTGTACCAAATTTTGTAAAGAAAGAGAAGGCTACCCTAAAGGTGGTTACTGTTTGGGGGACTCACTATTGTGTTGTTGCATTGGAGCTTGAGAGATCGTATACTTTCTCAACATGACTGTGCAATTTAGTATTTATGTTTTCTTTATTAAAATAAGATAGAAATTACATGTGGTTATATAAATCATATATTTAGCATGTAAGGATCTGTTGTCACGTTATCATTCAATAAGAGTTCATTATATTATCACCTAAACTTATTTTTTAAATATAATTTAAAAATAATTCTAAAGTAATGATTTTTCATTGAACGATGGTAAAAAATGAGTTCAACAATTTTATGTAAATATTTTGCTTGATTGCATGACGTTAGATGTATATTAATAGGATGCTACAACTATGAATAGTCTATTATTAAGATTTAATTTATTTCTTTTAATTTATATGAATTTCAATGTATTTAATCGGTGTGTATTGATAATTTCAAATAATTCAAACCATATAAGAATTATAAAATAAGAATTAAAATAAGATATTTAATACATGTATGTATTGTTAATATAGAAAATGTCTTGTAAATAAAGATATCTCAATAATTTGATAATACAAAGTTTGATGAGAGTGTGAATATAAATCCTTTTTATGTTCTGTCTATTTCCTTCAAATTAAAGATAAAAAATTATTAAATAAATCAAGAGCCTAGTAGTCAAGAACATCACAGAAAATGTGGGTAGTAGAGAAGAAAAGCGGAAAGAAATCTATTTCGCCAGCATTAAAGGAACACATTAGCAAATGCTCTATTAATTTAACTAAATACACATAGAGGAGAGTTAGTAGTTTTTAGACTCGGAAATGTTTAGTATATCAAGACTAGTAAATAATATGTGTTATTACACGGATCTTGTATGGATTTATATTATATGTCTATCAAATTATCATTTGTAAAATTTGAATTTATTCTTTAATCGATTAACATTTACATAGTTATAAATATATGTTAATAGTATGCACTAATTTTTAAACATTGATTCGTACTTATAATAAATCGTATAAGTGATTCTCTAACTTCAATTATATAAAATAACAACAAAAAAAAACATTTAAAAGATGAACATTAAAATGAACCGTTTTGTCGTTAGGATCTCATAGAAATGTTTACATCTACGTTCATAACGATGTAAAATAAAAAACTCTTAGATTAATATACTTGACCAAGAGAATATTAAGTCTATAATGTTAATCAGATTTTGTTAAAAAGATTTTACAGTTTAGAAAAAAATAAATTTTGTAGTGAATTAATATAAAATAGAAGCAAAAGAAAGACTTAAAAGATGAACATTAAAATAAACAGGCTCTCGCTGATATCTCATTAATATGTTCAAATATACATGTGTAACGTATTTTTGTTTACAAAAATAATTATATCAACAACAAACTTTTTTCAGTTAAAATTTTTTTGTAAAAATAATTGTATCAAGAACAAATTGATCCCCGTTTATAAAAATAATTGTATCAACAACAAATTGATCTTCATTTATAAAAATAATTGTATCAACAATAAACTTTAAAATTAACAGTCAAACTATATAAATGTATTACAATTACTTGAGTACTTTGATGTTTAAATTCATTCTATAATATTTTAATGTTATAACAAAGTAATACTATTTAGCCAACAATCCTAATTGACATGAGAGATTTTCAAACATATTATTTTTGTGAGGGAAAACAACACAAACACTTTACTTGTAAACAACCAAAATATCATTCTAAGTATAATTAAAAATCACCTTTTCTTAGTACTTTTTAATAGAAATTTATTTTTTAATTCTATATGGATCTACTATCTAAAGTTTTAGATTTGCACAATAGTTTTCAACATTCCCACAACTAAGCATTAGAATCTTAAATTATCATACATTCTGAGTTTTTAATTCCAATCCTGAAGTTATAGAATAAGATAATTTTGTCTAAAATTGATTAAAATTATATCTCATTTTTCCAACATTGATAACCCACCGAACAAACAATTAGAGAGAATAATTGAATAAAAAATATCATTGCTTGTATGGTTCTTCTATTGCAAGACTTGCACTGAACTTAAATCTCCACTTTGTTACAAACACATAAACGACAGTTCTCGAAATTTTGCACGATCAAGAAAATCCATTTATGATATTACGAAGATACAAAAGTAATTTTAGCTACAATGATTTACAAAAACATCCACCTTAAGAATAAATCTGTCATCTCGTCCATAACAATTTTACAACACAACTTAAACTGTAATTAACCATTCAATTGGACTCACATGAACTATATTAAAGATTGAAAGTTATACCACAACTTAGAATGCAATTAACCATTTTTTAAATGTGTAGTAATATGCTTCTCAAAGATAATTGTAAGGATTATAGACGACTTGGAATCAAAATCAATGATCAAGTCAAGCATAGAAAAAAAATCCTCCACCATCAACACTTCCCAAAGCTGCTCCCAAAAATCCAACAATTGATCCAACTATGATTTTCCAATCAAATATCATTTCCTTCATTATATAATGCATGTAAAATAAACTATACAACAATAAAAATTATAAAAGAAATAATTGTTCAAAACACAAAACAAACACTCAGAGGCCAAACAAGTTCATAAGAAGATTTTTCACTCTTGCATAATGGTCCCATAGACTTCTTAATGTAGGATTCTACCTATACAATTCTTCATCAAGACCATATGTAACCATTTTGATCATCTGCCTGGCTCTCTTGTAACTTGTAAAACAAATGGCATGTTGGCTAGATTATATGTTTGATGATCATATGTGATATTGGTTTTGTGTTTGTATTCACAAATATTGCAGTAAGCAAGAGTCGTCACCGACTTTTCTTTTATCCAACAAAGGAAATGGTGAAAAGAACAAAAAAAGACATTTCGAGAGTTTTCTGAGTAAGGGGGATAGATTATGGAAAGGGAAGGTATTAGCATCTTTTTCATCCGTAGTTTTCTACGGACTCTTAGATGCTTAGCTCATTTGAAAAATACCTTGTGCTTTTGTGTGTTTTTGAAAAGTATTTTTGAAATGCCATAATGAGGTAGTTGGTTTTATGATGGCTCTTGTATCAGTCCTCAAGAGTGTTGATAAAGCATTTATAAATGTTTTTGAAAGTTGTTTTGTGTAAGTGTGAAAAAGAATTTTGAGCATAGCATCTAGGAACTATCTACTCTACTCGAAAGGGTCGTTCTTTTACTCTTTTCCTTTAGACAATGTTATCCTGCTATTAGCCAGTAGGTAGCCCTATCATTGGATGTTTGAGGGACATTTGAAGGAATGTTTTTATAATCACAAAGGCAACTGGGCAAGAAACCTTAGTAACTACCCTAGGGTTTTAATATCATGTTTACCGAGGAAACTTCGAGAGGGTCATCGAGGGACTTATGATCTTTTTTAAACCAGAGGATAGATGTAACGCGGTGGGAGAACTGACTTGGTCATTTTGTATTTGATTGCAAATATTACGGTTTAGCAAGAGTCACCACCGACTTTTCTTTTATCCAAAAGGAAAGGCTGAAAAGAATAGGAAAGACCTTTGAGATGTTTTCTTGAGTTCGGGGGGTAGATTATGAAAAGGGAAGGTATTAGTACCCTTTTCATCCGTAGTTATCTACGGGCTCTTAGTTGCTTGCTAGATCACTTGCTTTTGTTTGAAAATATGTTTTGTATGGTTTTTGAAATTATTTTGAAAATGCGTCATCGTTTAGGCAAACTTTGTAATGATTCTCGTTAATAAGAATGTATACAAAGTGTTGATCTTTTGAAAATGTTTTCAAGTTTGAAAGATGTTTTGAAAGTGTTGGTGTTTGTTTTGACAATAGCAAGGATGTTTTGGTTTTGAAATTGAGCAAGCAACTAGGAACAATCTACCTACTCAAAAGTATTTCATGTTTATTTCCTCTTTCCTTTGACATTGTTATCTTACCATTGATTTGGTAAATAACCCTATCTTTGGATGTAAAAGGGATGAGTGTGGGTCATCGTATAGCCATGATTAGCAATGTTGTAAGATATCTTAGCATTTTCTTTAACTAAGATCATTTTTGAAAGACAACTTTGATAGCGTCATCGAGGGACTATGATCTTATATTTTGTTTGTTTTTTTTTGCTAAGATACCTCACATGCATAATATGGCCATTTTTGTAAGGTAACAAAGTGGATTTACCCTAGGGGTGTATGTGTGTGAGTGTATTGGTTTACATGCTTGATTTATCTTTATTAAGGTTTGCTATTTGTTGATTTTTATCTTTCCATACAAACCTTAATTATTAGCATTTGTATATAAAACATTAAATTACGGAAATTAAAATTACTACGCTATTACATCATTAGGGGAGAGGGTGTACAAATTACAAATGGGAAATTGCAAGGAAACTAAATCTAAATAATTATTACAACCATGTTGAATATTGTACAAAATGAATAGATAAAAATGCAAGAATGTAAATGTAAAAAGAAATGTGATTTTTGTTTGGTTTTCATGAAAAGGTTTTTTGACCTAGTTAACTAAAATAAAATAATTAACTAAAAAGAAAATTAAGATTAAGTTAATAAAAGAAATTAATTTATTAAAGAAAACAAGTTTTTAGGGTTTTTGTGAATTTAATTAAACTAGCAAAAAAAATAAAAGTCCTAAGTTCTAAATTGTTTTAGTTTACAAGAAAATAATATGATAATAATTAATACTAATTATCTAAGTATTTAAAAAAAGAGAAATTAATTTATTAAAGGAAATATTTTTGTTCTTTTAGTTTTATGAAGAAAAATAAACTAAACAAATATAAATAATAAATATAAATATTTTTGGATTTTTATTAAATAACAATAAAAATAATATTAATAATAATAATAATAAAGAAAATAAAAATATAAAAGAAAGAAAATGGGCCAGGGGGGTGCTGAAATGAGACAGGGGCCAGCAAGTTAGAAAAAAAATATGAAGGCCCAATATTTGGGGCCCAGGCGCTGCAAAAACCAAAGAAAGTGTAAAAATGTGAAAGGAAAAAAAAACAAAAGGCAGCGCGCTGGGTGTTAAAC